AACACAAAGACGTATAATATAAAATAAAAGTTTCTAAAACTCTTCGCGGGGAACCTTGAGAGAAAACCGGTTTATCGATTCGACTTGACGACGGATTCTTGTCCATGCTTAGCGACGTGTGTTTAGCAAGCACTAAAGACGGTTGTTTCATTTTTATTTATGAATCTTGAACGAGTCAAGGATTAATATTCTTCTTAAAGAAAAATAACGTAAATATCAGATTGAGAGAGATTTTTTTTTTAATGTTTACGATAAATTAGAGCAAGTGAAAAAACGGGACAAGAGCTCGAAAATAAAAGTCTTGATAAATTGGTTTATAAACATAACAACCCCCGATTTGAACAAAAATATAATTAAAAAGATATCTCTTTTTATTGTCAAAAATTATCGGACGGTATTTAAAAAATATTCCGTTTAAAGTAAGGAAAAGAATATTAAGAATAATTAATTAAAGAATAATTAAAAACATATTAAGAAAAATAATTAAAAATAACGTATGTAAAAAAAAAAAAAATCAGTGTTTAGTAATTAAATTCTTCTCTAAGAAGTCAATTAACAACAGAGTACAGGAAATCGACCTTAATCAGTGCAGCTGCACCCGCATCGCAGTTGCAATCTATTCGTGTCAGTCGCATTATTTATACTTCATTTCTCTTTTCCACGTAATATTTTTTACGACAAAGATTTTTACGTAAAAAATATTGTTATTGTAATAATTACTAACAATTAGTAATACCTTATACGGATTGCCATTGAAACATGCGTTTAAAAATTAAATACCAAAGTTCGAAAGAGAGTTAGGTATTGTCATTTAAATAATTGTATTCGTAATAAAACTTTTGATCTCAAGACAAACGACGACGAATACAATGCAAAAAATTTATTAAAATATGGAAGGGTAGTTTCAAATTAAATATGTACATATGATTTGCGTAGAAATTTGCGGCCGGAATCGCCGGTTGCACACATATAAATACATACCACATAAACACACGCGTATGACGTACGGAAGTTCACAAGGTCGTCGCTGGAAACGTCAAATAGCGAACGCGCATAATATATAATCATAGGTTAGAATTCGATCGTTCAACCGTGACCGTCTCTTGCGCTCTTGTCAATTAATTCTCATTATTCTCGATGACGATCTACCTTGTTTCATTATAAACAATATGCACGAACAATTTCTTAATCGAATCGAAACGAATGGCGATGTCGATGATCTCACCTGTTGGCACATTGCTCATCTTGATGATTTCGTGGCGTGGAATCGGGGCGATATCGGACGATGTTCGTTGGTCGTGCGAAAAACCTCGGTACGAAGTCACGAATAGACGAGTTCGAATCGGTTCACCAGGAGGCAAAAGGCAATGCGCGTTCTCCGATACCGAGCCGAGATCGATCGGCTTCGACTATGGACTAACACTAGATCGAGTATCGAATAGCACTCTTGACTCTCGTCGGAAACGTGGCCGCGGTTACCGCCACCTGACGAGTCGCCAGTCGAAGCTTTAGATTGGGTGTGAAAGTGACAGATTTGAAAATTGCACATGAGGTTCTATCTTTATTCCCTAGATATTTTAAATATATCGCAAAATATATTCATTAAAGAAAGTTTCTTAATCAATAATAAAAATGTAATATAGTGTCTTAAAGAATATTTTAAATAGTAATGATATAAAAAACTGTATTAAGTACCCAGACAGCACAAGGATGTCCTTAGGACGTCCAAAGAGCATCCAGGACATACATGTAGGATTAATTTAGAAATTTTAAGTATTGTAATAAGTATTAATGTCCTATAAATGTCCATTGGATAACCCCTGGATGTCTGTAGGATATTTGCCCTGTCTATTATATTGGATGCCCTTTGGACGTCCTAAGGACATCCTTGTGCTGTCTGGGTAATAGACAGGGCAGATATCCTACAGACATCCAGGGGTTATCCAATGGACATTTATAGGACATTAATACTTATTACAATACTTAAAATTTCTAAATTATATTAAATAGCCTACATAACCGAAAGTAATCATGTATGCATATTAAATTTTCATAAAATATATTTATAATAATATCTTAAAACATCCTACAAATATCCTGAACCATCCTGGACATATTCAGGATGATCCTGAGGACGTTTTGTGCTGTCTGGGTAATGGTAATATTTTTAAATTATAAAAATATATGTATAATAAATATCATCTCTTTACAATTAATTGTGCGAAATATGTAGTACATATGTATCTATCAATCGCTTTGAAGCGAAAATAGCGTCAAATGGAATGCATTTAATGTCACGTTTAATGTTGAATAGAAATTAGTTCTCGAATCGTGATTTAATATTTCATATTTGGCGCGAGTGAATGACAGCCCTATTTAATTCGCGTAGCACAAGGAATTTCGGAATCGGACTATAGAAGTACGATGCTCGTGGAATCGGAAGTGACGTTTATTCATCGCCGCACTTCTCTACGGTGGGTTTCGCGCGCTTTACTTGTGGCTTGTTGATGCAAATATCGCGATCGTACATTGTAAGTATTAATGCTGTGATATAGTCATAATAATATTACAATTTTAAGATCGATCACTTGTCTTATTACAAACGATCATTAGATTATGCACAGATGTCTCGTCGACAGATGCGGATGAGCGTGCGACAATTATTCTATATCAAGTGAATTCCACACTCCTTCATGGCTCGTCCAGGTATATTGTTAAACGTATTAATAAAATTGCCGAGAAATTAACTTATTAAGAATAACTTTTCATTAAAAAATTATTCTCCGTTTATATCTCTCTTAA